TATTATTTTACTTTATATTAATAAAATATTTAAAGTATTTAAAGAAAGCTATTCTGTATTTTAAATGTAGAAATATTTACTGAAATACCGGTTTATATATACTAATCAAAAAGCAATACAAACAATGATTGCCTTATATTACTTATACTATCTGCATTCATCATGCAGGATCTTTCTGTTCGTTAATTTGAATATCATAAACGAGCGCGCGTATCGCAACATCTCGAACTAGTTCGTGAATCTCCGCGCAGCGTATATAACTCTAACCCTGCTTATTTTAACCTACAAAAATAAAGCAGAAGCATGGTACGCCTTGCACCTTGGAGAACAGTTCTATTCATATCTTTAACGCCTTAACTACCAGACATGCAGTGATACTGTACGAGCTTGTAAAGTTTTTTTTCTTCAAAAGAGAATGAAAAAGTAGTTGGGAGAACTCTGCAAATGTCGATTAAATAAGTTCTTACATTCAAATTTCTCAACGATTATTTGAATTTCGAATAACATCCGTCCGCTTGGTAAAACAGAGACTACATTCAGACGAAACAACCACCGAAAATTCGTCTATACTTGACTGACACGTGAAATGCATTAACCCCTAATGTTACAAGGTCTTTAATATTATTTAAGTTTAAAAACTACAGAAAAATGGCGGGCAGTTACACAACGAAGGAATTCGGCGTGGGTCCTGAAGAACAAACTTTATTGAAAAATTCGGAAGGAACACGTATCGTGCCCGCGAAAGGTATACAATATTTCCTTTCTCTATCGCATTTTTATTCTTCACGCTTTCGAACGTTAATCGTTTAAATCTCACTTCATTATTTTAAATATGAAGAGCTCTACCTTTCTTAAAAAATACCCTATACACACTTTTTTTATTTTCGTCATAAATACTCAACCAAACCGGTCTTTTAGTAGTGAAGATCCACACACACATTTTCAACATTAGGCTTCAAGCATATTATATATTGGTTTGTTTTTCATTCAGTTTCATTTCTGTAAAGAACAGTTTCATTTCTGTAAAGAACAGTTTCATTTCTGTAAAGAACAGTTGATCTTTCATTTATTATGAAATGTAAAGTATTATTTTCATATGTAAATTAAAAATTAAAAATGATGCCATATTAGTTGTTAAATTTGTATGTGAAAAGTGCATTGAAGTCATTTGATACTATGCCTTTTTTCATTTCCTTTTAAATATCTGTTGTTTTAATAACTAAATTAAAATTAAAAAATTTGATTTATTAAGTTTTTAAAAGTATAATCTTATTTTTCTATTCACAATCTGTATTCAAATAATTTTATCTATGTGTTGGCATTCTTAACTTTTGACCACTGTGCATTATATAGATAACATTTTAAAGAAGATAAAAAGATGACAAAAAGTAAACATAGAGCATAATTTTTATCTATCATTTTTATCATAATTAAATTGAGATAAATGAAATGAAATAATACAAATGAAGGCATATGAATTTTTATTATGAATAATTAAATAAGATAGTTATTGTGGATAATGTTACTATTTATCATTTTTAAATAAAAGCATGTATTTTTGTATATAAAAATAAATTTTTTGAAAATTAAAATACACTAGAAAAAAAGTGTCTTATGTGCTGTAGTATGTATTTTATTTCACACAGTATGTTATTTCTATTAACCTAATGTATATAAGTAGTTAATATATATGAGTTTTATTAAAAGGTAGAACATATGTATTATATTTTCATGCTATTATAATCATTACATCAATACTATTATAAATTAATTAAAGTTATAACTACATTTTTGTACTTATTACAATAACATATTTAGTCATCAGTCTTTTTTTTCATTATTGTATTACATATTGACAACATAATACTGTGTATGTTATACAGGAATATGATTAGACAAAACTGAAATGTATATAATATAAACTTTATATGAATATTTTGTCTACAGGTTGCATTAGATCTTCATACAGTACTTTTAAAGTTCACATTTTAACTGGTAATTAATGCTTTATTTCTTTTAAAATATAGACACAGTATTTATGTCATTCTTTTCATTGTTGTATGATATAAATATGAAATCATACATATGTATATTATATATATATATATATCAAATGCTTCTATTGCATTCATTAAAGTAATAAATTGCCTTAAATTGAAGCATTATTAAAGTGTTGTTTGGAGTGCTCTAAGTGCTGTAGTATTAAGTTTGCACACATATGCGCGTGTGTGAATATAAATCATATCAAAGAATCTTTCATTGTAGGTACTGAGCCTGTTCGTCTCTCTCCTGGTTGGGAAGGAACAGGTAGACCTGATGATGAATTGAATTTTAGAGGAGTTACAATGGATCTAGCAGACCTTGAATTAAATCCTCCCAAAGATAGGTACATAAAATTATATGCTTTTAATACAGTTTATAATTTTAATATTTTTAATTATTTAAGGTAAAATTTTTGTGTATCTTTAGATTAAACCTAGTATTCTGTATAATGGTACTTCATGGAATTGGTGCCTTGATGCCATGGAATATGTTCACAACAGCAAAAACTGTATGATTTATTGAAACATATACTTTACTTTTTGATTGATAATATAAAATACATCATAAATTTTTAATCAAACTAATGATTCTTTTAGTATTTTGTTCATTACAAGTTATCTAAGGGATATACAGGGATTGAATCAAATTATGCTGCAAATTTTCTACCATACGTAGCATTTGCATCACAAATACCAAATCTAACATTTAATTGGTTAAACATATTTATACAATTTGGGTGTGTATATTTTTGATCGGTTTTATCTTATATCTTCTATGTATGTTATCTGCTAGTATCTCTAAACAACATGTTCTCTAATGTATTTTTCTTGTTACATTATATCATATGATATTCTATAAATGAAATTAAACTTCAAATGAAACAAGAATCTGAATTAAAAATTCCATTTTCGATTTTTTTAGTGGCAATTTGACAACACGTATAATATGGAGTATCTTCATAGAAGTTTTAATATTTGTATGTACCATTATTTTGGCAATGATTGATAGCTCTGGTTGGCCAGGTGTCTTTTTTGGAATCACTATACTTTCTGTTACTGCATTAAACAGTAAGATAAAATTATTTTTGCAAAAGTTTTAAAAGACTCGTCAATTATACGATATTTTAAATAAAATATGTATAATTTACAACTAGAAAATTTATTAAATCTACAGTAAAATTCACTTTTAATTTTTAGTATTAAATTTGCTTTTTAAGTACATTTTTTTATTCATGTAGTACTTAATTTTATTTATAAAATCTTTCAGTTGCTGGTGGAATTTACCAAAATTCTGTGTTTGGTATGGGAGCAAAGTTGCCTGCAAAGTACACAGGAGCTATTGTCTTAGGCACGGTAAACACCAACTCCTAAAGTTTTGTGATAAGAACATTATGTAACATGCACATATACAAATATATTACTCTTATGCTACTTTCAGAATATAAGCGGAACATTTACGGCCATAATTAACCTTCTTGCTCAATATATGGCACCAAATGCTCGGACTGCCGCGATATATTACTTTATAACGGCTCTGTTCGTTCTTCTTGCATGCTTTGATACTTATTTTGCACTTCCAATAAATGTAAGATTCATAATTTTCTTATAGGTTTAGTTTTATCACACATTAAGTATAATAATATAATGTTTTACATAAATTGTTGTTCACAGAGGTTTTATCGATATCATGAATTATTATATCAAAAAAGATTAGATAAAAGACAGTTGGAAAATAGTGCAAGGAATAAACGCGACATACCGCCTTACTGGAAAATACTTAGACAATGTTTTCCACAGTGCTTCAATACATTTTTCGTGTTTTTTGTAACTCTTACTCTGTATCCATCTGTTCATTCTGACATAAAACGTTCAAATCCTAACTTTATAATTCCAGAAGATTATTACAGTAGTGTTATGTGTTATCTCACGTTCAATGTTACTGCGCTATTGGGTAGTTCTATCGCATCGTTGGTTCAGTGGGTAAGTTTTTTAATTAAAAGATTTATTAAATATTAAATGTAGACAATAATTTTTCTTACTTTTCTTTTCTGCAGCCTAGTAAAGAGTACTTGGTGATCCCAGTTGCTTTCCGTATTTTATATATACCATTGTTTTTATTGTGTAACTATCAACCACATGATGTCACAAGAGTATTACCCATATACATTAATAATGATTGGGTTTATTTTATAATCGCTATTACAATGGGTACAAGTAGCGGCTATTTTTCATCATTATCTATGATGTATTGTCCCAGGTAAGAGTTATATAATTATACAGGAAAAAACGTGTTTTATTCTTGTTGTATAGAAAATTTCAGAAATAAAATTTTTATAATTTTAGAATGGTAGAATCTCAACATGCAGCAACAGCCGGTATGTTTGGAGCGGCTTCATTAATCACGGGAATTTTTGTCGGAATATTGTTTTCTATGGTCATGCCCACCTTGATAGCAAGTCTACAATTTCCGTTATCTTAATGTGTACAACTTTCAATGATAAGGTATTAATCCATGTTTAAAAACATTCACTAAATAGAAAAATCAAAAGGAGAAAAACACAAGAAACAGGACATAACAGTAATAGTACAATCTAATTTTAACATTGTACTATTTATAATAATAAACTAATTTAAAAGATTTATCAGCACTTGAAAGGATAAAGCTGAAAATAAATTTTATGTAATTGTAAGATGATTTCTCGAAAAAGAAAAGAATGTAAATGATTTTAATTTATTTGATTCATATTTAAGATACTACTTATCCTTTCGTTATAAAAAGGAGGAATAATACAAACGTTGAATAATACAAACGTTGAATAATACTTGAGAGAATGACTAAGCTCATGTTGTCAAAAACAATCTAATGTTTCATAATGAACTATTTAAAATTTAAAACAAAAACTAGAATCCTGTTGTTACTCTAACTTTATATTCATAATATTAATGTCTAATCGCTGCCCCAATGAAACTGTTGCTACTAAATTGGACCAATAAGCCTTAATAACCACATATTATTAGGTTTTTCACACGCATGAGTTAACTCAAAGCCGCTAAAATAAGCACACAAAAGATCTGTACATTTAACAATTGTTACTTACATAGACCAAATTTAAGATAAGACTGTGGTTTGTTAACTTTTCGTACTAACAATTTAATAAATATAGATCTGAGCTATGTACATTTTGAATGACAAAGATGTTGAAGTGAAAAATCATATTTTTCTTTGTTAAATGCTCAGTAATGTGCGAATTAATGAATAACTTAAAATACTTACAACGTTGTGAAAACACAGACATGCATTTAAAAAGCACATTGAAACATTTTTTTACTAAAGTACATAAATGTTTTGCACAGATTAAAGTTTTTCACTGTGAACTTTTGTTTAATTTAAAAGCACTGTGCTGTAAAAGAAATTTACAGCAGTGTGTACAATTAAATAGTAACATTTCAACATAAAATTGAATGATATGTAACAAGCTCAATATTTTCCTGGACTCCACAACAATATTTTCTGTGTACTTGCGATATGTATCTGTTAACATATATACTTACTCAAATTTTATCTTAATGTATATTGCAGATGATGTATACTATTTTATTACTTTATTTACATGTTTATCCTTAGTTGTAATAAATACCAAACTATATAGGACAAATTTCAAGAGTTAAAAATAATTACTCTTAAATTTCGTTACATATACTATCTCATATGTACATATATGTACACATATTTTCATTACAACAAAAAAAGTATGCATCATTAAATATAAATTCTTATTTGGATATAATTAGTAAAATCTGTAAATACTGTCTAAGTGCTTCCACATGTGATAACATGTGACAATTACAAATCTGCATTTTTATTGCATACTATTTATAATACTGTTTATCCTCTATTACCATTAATTCATACATATTTGTAACTAATACTCTTATACACTTTCAAATTATGCTCAGCTAAATTATCATAATCATATATTCATAAATTTAAACAAATCTTGGTAATGAAAAAACCTTAAATTACCTCAAATATTGTACCCCAAGTTGACCACAAATTATTCTAAAACATAGAATCCGAATTCCTAGAAGGACAATCCTCCGCATAAAGCAATCCAGACAATAAATTATAAATGAAATTCAATAAAACCAATGAACGAAAAATCATTGAACTTAAAGCTCATAGAGCATAGAAGGGATATTTTTATATTGATTCACTTGTGGACATGTTTCATCTAAAATTGCTGAATGCATATCATTACGTAGATTAGGCTTTTTTCGATAAGATATACGATACAATTATTCACCTGAAAACGAATGCAAATAATAATATACATATCTGTTTTCACATAAAACAGAATCACCACAAATTATGTGACAAAGTAGAAGTCAGATTACACCAATGTTGATACAAATCTTACCATTCTGTTGAAATGTTCAGGCATGCAAATTATAAATATAAATATGAATCACTGTAATATACTTATAAAGTTCATGGTTATAAAATGCGTCTTGAAACGTAGATTTATGGAATTGTTTTAACCGTTCAATTTATTGTAGAAATGATGTTAAATAAATGAGTAAGGACAAAAGTCTGATTTTGTGTTTAATAACCAACTACATTATCACAATTATTTGTATACCATTTTTTATATCGAAAAACTAGAACGTTTTCCATTACATACACACTATTTGTTTATATCACAATTTATTCTAGTAGGTGATCACAAATAAAATTTGCAAAAAGATATTTCCTTAAAAATAGATGTTATTCCCTTTGTTATTATCGGTATACAATATTAAACAGTAAATATTCCGAGTTAGAATATGAAAGATGCACTGTGTATAGTACAAGTTGTGTCTGCGTCCGCAAATTTTACATAACGTACACTTTTTCAATTTTTTTGTACGGAAACACTTCTTTGGTTTTTGGACAAATTACAGTATCATTGTTTTCTTGAGCCATTTTTTTTAGTGCCTAGAGTAAAATATAATATTTACTTAGTAAAATATAATCAACTAACTATATTTTCTAAAATATAAACGTTTTTACTCACTTGCTCTCCATATACATATCCATTTGGCAACATCATTGGATGATTATACTCATTTAATGGTTTTCCACTAATACTACAAACAAGTCTAGACTGTGAGCAATGAGCAAAAGGCAATGGAATAGCTAATTCATTAAAAGCTTCATTACACACAGGACAATTTGGATTTCTGCCTTCCTTATTTGCACTATAACACTGGGGTGTTTTTAATGCTGATAAACCTGCTTGTAATGTTACTGTAAAAACACTTTGACTTGCCAACTGGAAAAGTCTATAATTTTCATGTCTAAACTGCTCAATTAATCTATCCCACCTGTAAGCATTAGAAATCAGGAACATGGCAGCTATTATATTTGAGATAAATCTATATAAATATAATTTAATAACAAATATACTTACCTTTTTTCATCTAATAAATCTTTATATGGACTGAGAGATGTATTAGCTGGAAATGCTAATTGTCCCATGCAACACTGAATTTCTTGTAACTGATAATCATCATAATTTGTAAAACATCTTCTAGCATGTTTGACAGCATCAAGTCTTCTATCTTGTTTTACTAATTCCATAAACTCTTGTACACGTAAATTAAATTCCATAGTACTTCCTAATTTCCTTAACTTAGATCGATTGTCATAGCACCAACCAAAACACCTTGCAGTTTCATGATTTGCTAAGGACATTTCAACCTCTCTTGAAACCATAAAAACATCTAGAAATATGAAAAAAATTAAAAAAAATATTTACATTCTATGTAGAATATTGAAAAAAAATAATGAGTTAACCTACCTATATTTGTTAAATCTCTAAGCTCACTGCTGTCTGCTAATTTAGTTGCAGTTTTATAATAACCTTTACGAAGAAAATATTCTATTAACATTCTATCAAGCCTTTGTCTTCGCCACTGATTTACAACACTTGGTGCGGTACTAGCATGTTCTTTTCAGCAGGAACAGAATTTTTATTATCCTTCATTAATTCATTAACTGCTGCTTGTACATATGAAGCTTCTCTATCTATGACTTTTTGAGCTAAACGAAACTTTTTATTAAGAAGTTCATAAGGAACCTAAAAATGAAATGTATTAATTAATTTATTGAAGTAATAATACAATTTTTGCAAATCAAACTTCAAAATAATGAAACTTAGCATTAGTACGAAATAGTGTATAATAAGCCATACAAAGCTGTCAAAAATCAAGAACAGGTTTAGCTGAAAAAAATCATAACAGTAGTTCCAGAGTATTAAGTACCTTTAATGTTGCGTATTCTAGACTTTTAACGTCTGACATATTGGTTATGCTCACACTACCCGTACAGTTGTACTTAAAAATTTGAGGAAAATTATGTTTGTTATGTCGTAACTAATATACTTTTCTATTATGTATCATATTCATCCATCTTCTTTTATATAAATATTGAAAACAAACACACAATGACAGAAAGTAAAATAACTTTGACACGCGACTGTCTTCGAGAAAGGTGAAAACTCTTGCAGTATTTTAACAAAGATAATTATTATTTTGTTTACGCATGATGAAAACGTTAGTATTATAATGTAACTGTAGATGGCTCCATTAACGATAGATATAAGGGATGATCCTCAGCTAAATCATATGACTGAACTATTTATCACCAATTAAAGAATCTATGTATTGCTGCTTGTAACGAAGTAGAATTTATTTTGCAACTTTATACAATTGTAAAAAAAGTTAAGAGGTGCATAAGATCAACATAACTATGCTATTCATTTTTGCATTAACAATTTCATTTCACGTATGTGTTGCATCTTATGCTCGCCAATGATTCTTGGCGTTTTTGATTGGTCACTGAAACGGATTAATTTTTGGTTTCGACCAATCGCGAAATTTGAGCATATAACAGGAGTGCAACGCAGCTGAATAGAAAATGCTAATAACGTACGCGTGGTTGAATGTTTTGGAAATGTGATGTGCAAGTTTCCCTCGCAAAATATCAACAAGGTTTTATATAAAGGTGAGTTTTCGAGTAATTTCGTACTACACCCTCTGATTTCAGTTAAATAATGCAGAATCTTCAACAATCACATGTGCATCACTGATAAAAAAAATTTATTTCTATAACCCGCCAATGCTTACATGTTATTTCTATACTTTATAATTTCGAATGTCAATTAAACACGAAATTTGTATGTATTTTTTCTATTATAAAAATGTATAAATTTATTGTAAACATTAAGCATTTCAAATGTACATCAGAATGAAGAAGTTACTGGTCCTGTAAGAAAATTAATTGTATTTATGAATATGAAACTAAAATATCTAATTTGTTATTAGATATCATAACAGCAAAAATTCTAAGAAAAAATAACTTTAATAAAGCATATTTCGAAATTGTTGCAAAAATTCGGCCGATATTTAACCGTTCGGCAGAGCCGAATCGAACAGGATCGGTTATTTTCGGGCATGTTCGGTCGGTGACGGAAAGTATCGGCGGCGCGCGCGAGTCACTCGGATGGCCGGGGGCCGCCATTTTCCTCCAGCGAGGGAGACAGTCGCGAACGTAGTTCCGCGCATTGTCGACCAATTTTTTCGTCGAATCGAGGGATTTTCGCGAACAACTGGGGCGTCGGGCGGGCGCGCGTGACCCCAGTGCCCGTATCCGAGCGAGTATCGTTCCACGGGAGGCTCGAAGTCACCCGTGGACGCCGCGAGAGCCGTGTGAATCGGAATACAAGAGTCGAGGCGCCGCGCGTATACCCCCAAAAGAGACACAACGTAAGAACGCCGTGTGAAAGAGTGAATAGTTTGGTGATCGCAGTGTAGCCGGTGAAAATACACGAGTACCCAGGAGTACCGTGGTCCGAGGAATACAGGGAGAATCGCCTCCGACAGGTTAGTGAGTGTTTTTCTCACGTAGATCGCGCCGCCGAGAGCTCAGTGTACGCCGTGTGCGTCGCTTGCGCGGCCCCTGGTGTGCACGGTGCATGCGTGCACACACGCACCGGAGAAAATTCCGCGGGTTCGTGCGTGTGTATTTGTATGCGTTTCTATCTTCCGTCCGTACTCGCATCTACCAATACGGTGCATACGAGTTCTTCGTTTAACCGTTCTACGTCTCTATGTGTGCGAGTGTATGACACTTAGTGTGCGAGTATGCTGACTAGTGTGATATGGCGGGAGACGCCGCGCCAGCAACGAGCCACGCGCCTTTCTTTTTATTTGGTCCTCCGCTCTACATTGGCCCGATTATTCTATCTTTTCCCGTCCCTTAAAAACTTTCATGGAAATGTGATTTACGTTTCGCAAAACTCGGACTATTCACGTAGTGAAATACTCTCTTTTCCAGTGAACTGTGTAATCGCATCTTGACGTTGACCTTCGGCAACGTCTTCAATCTTTCCAATGAAACGTTACATATTCGTGCTTCTCGCATTTCTCTCGTGTATTCGTTTGCTATGTACCGGCGTGTAAGATTCTTAAATACAATTTGCAAGTTCATTACAATATGTTAATTTCGAAGTAGGATTCCGATGGGTAATTAAGCGCCTTATCTGTTTTATTACGCACGGAGGCTGTAATAGCGGTGTTTGTTCAAAACGAACTGTCTGTGTAGGATAAATTATCGTGTGAAGCGAATCTGTGATTTTTGTTCACGTTGCGTTGCACTATTAAAACGCACGTGCGAACCGGACGAATTTTCTGACATATCGTACGGGTATGAAAATTGTTATGAAATATTGCTAGATGGCAGCACTTCGCGTTGTGCTTCGAAATTTTGTTATTTAGAAAAAGTAATGTCCACGAGAATTTTTAATCGTCCTTTTCCAGTGTACATACGCTCGCACGCATGTTACACAATGTTCGGATGAAGTTCGCGTGACTTCCTTCTTACACTTTAAATAAATTATGTTATTGGAAATATTTGATTTACCGTTCGAAGGGTACGTCGGAGATGCAAAGTGTCTGTCTGGTACGGTACAGCCCAATGTAAATCATTTATTCTGTTAAGTGTACGTGTCATGCGGCTGACCGCCATTTGGATAGACGCTTCTAGAATATCATTCATTTGTATCTCTCTCTTCTTCCGTCGACAGCCTGTCTCTTCTTCTATATCTATTTATCTCGTGATACACACCATATTAATGTACGATGCGTTTTTCACGCGAAAACGCCTACACACACACGCGCGCGCGCATATATATATGTATTACGCTATTCCGGGGAATTTTCTTAGGAGACAACGTAATTTAGGGACGCGTTTACACGCGTCGCAAATTATGACGCCACGTTCGTGCTACAAATTAGCATCCTCCGAGAGTTCGGGCGAACTTTTGCGAAAACGATTATCGTTCGTGCTTGTGGGTGACACTGTGAACGCGCCTAGTGGTTCTCAACTTTTTCCGTCTTTCTTCCAGGTGTCCCACTGCAGTTGCGTGAATCTTTTATACGGCTTAGTACAGCCCGCATCCTTTAACTCGATATATCGTTCGCTTTTCTCGTTTAATATTACTGATGGCCCTTCATTGGCGTCCATAATCATTTTATTACTTGAAAAAAAAATGTTTATCTTTCTCAAATATTTAAAATATGTTAAACTAATATTAGCATATTTTTATATTTTTGCAAAATTTCAAAAACCATTGAAAATAAAATGTGTATACAATATGTCTGAGAAAATAACATAAACATCGATTAAACATTAATTGCAGTCAATTTGTTAAATTTAATAAGTGACACTTTTTTTTTTATACCAGTTCGCGTAAATATAAAATTATAAATTCAAAACAACATTAAAATTTTAAATAATTACACTTTTATAACATGTGATTCAAACATCAACAATACAAACGGTACTTCAACTTTAATACACGCACTCGTTTAGTTTTTCCACGAGTTCGATGTTCTTGCCTGGACTCGGTTAACAAGCTTCCGTTCGAAGCGATAAAGCATGCTAACGACCTACTAATCTGAAATGTAGGTAGGGTTTGGACGACTGCGAAATATTAGAAGCGTGACATCGCGTCTTCCGATGACGATTCCTACGACAGAGAACTATGGTTATATGTACAGAAAAGCCGCCACTTAAACATAAAAGGAAAAAAACAAGCAAACAAAAGACGTTTCGATGTGATCAAACGAGAAAGGTTCGAAATTTTAATTCGTACGCATCGCTCGAAGACTAACAGGGAGTCCTAAAGGGACGTCGGCGCCAAGTGGAATGTCAGATTGCGTAACTTTCGCCGAATTTAACGCGAATATGGAACGAACGCGTCGCGTACGTACGTTTCCCTTATTTCGTTCCGCCGGTACGCGCGCGCTCGCCACATGCACATAACTTATTCATCGTTGATTGTGTCGGTATTTAAACGAGCTCCTGTTCTGGCCTTACGTAATTTGCTGAACGCAGAGAGCAGCGGTACGGCGCTCGGTTGCTTATTCAGCGATGTTGTGACCTGTATTCACGTCGCGACACTTCTGTTTCTTTTTACTAGAAACCCACTCACGGCCCGCTCGGTTGTGTGTGTATGTGCGGCGTCGCGTATATTTACGTTTTCCTCGTTGGCGCCGCGTAAATCCATCTCCCGCGGTCGTCCGGAGAAAGGAAACGGGAAGGCGTTATCCTTCGAGAAAGTTAAGTCGTTCTCGGTTTGACGAAGGAGGTCGACTCCCCGTACCACCATCACTGACCAATCGAGTTTTTTTTTTTTTTTCTTTAGTAAGCCTTCTCGGTTCGGAAGAGTATCTTTGTTGCCGGCCTAACCTCTCTTTCTCTTTTTCCGTCTTCTCTTGTGTTCGCTAATTGATTATCTGAAGAGGAATATACAGATCATACCGTTTATTGTGAGAAAGAGAGCGTTACTTGTAAACACGCACTAATCCAGTATTCGGTTTCGCCGAGTCGGTGCGTAGCTTGGACCTTGTTAGTCGACGGTCGGACATAATCGGGTCAAATATCGCATTCAATTCGGCCGAGGAATATATTGCCGGGCTGCTTGGTTCGACATGACGCTCTGTTTAGCAGTTTTTGTAGTCATTAGATTTACCACTTATCGATGATTCACGGTTCACGCGAAACGACGAGGTCGCCACCAGGAATGAATCTGTTATGTTGTTGTGTCAGTGCGCGCGTGCGTGTGTGTGTGCGTTGAGGCACTCGGTTCGCACGGAAAGATACGCACGTGTCGCGATTGTTTATCGCTTAAAGGCAGCGCAACAGTATATCGTCGTCTCCTAACCCTAAAACCGGCTAGTTAAAAAGTGCGACACTGACGTGGCTTTCTTTCTTTTTCTTTTTTTCTTTACGAGGCTATAGGATGAGTATATACGTATTACTGAACAACTGAGATAAGAGCGGACGTTTCGAGCGTTCGTAAAATTCTCTCGATTATATTTTCTCCTCGCTTTTATCGCCGACGTAATACACGGGCAGAACAAAATTA